TCGAAGCTTGAGAGCCCAAAAGCACAAAATGTCATATTTCAAATCAATATCATTTAAATAGATCAAAGTTTTCAATTATCGCCATGAACGGCAATAAAGAAATAAACCTTAACGTGAGTTTGTAAAAGGAATTTGACATCCGGACATCCGAATCCGGCAAAATTTTTACTATTTGAAAGAAAGGTAATTATTAATTTTACTAATATAATATGCGTACTCATTGCGGGACAAGCTAAGTTATTTTTAAAACAATAGAAATACAATGGGGCGGTCCAAGATTCGATCCCCTGTCTGAGGACGAATATCGATATAGCATTTGGTAAAAAATTTTTATTAATTACTTGTTGATTAAAAATTTATTGTACTACAATGACTACATTGAAAGTATTATATCATTGTAATGAATTGTGTTTCTCAGAGCAGTGTTGGCGTGCGTTCAGCCTACAACTACCCCTAGGTAGCACCCCTCGATCCTCGGCTGTGCACCAATGGACTTTCTATGAGCGCATTTAACACTCGCTCGTACGGTGAAAGAAAACTTCGTGAGGAAACCGGCTTGCCTTAGACCGAAAATGTCGATACACAGGAGGCTGATCACCAACTTGCATAGAAAAAAAAAATGAACGAAAAATATACCGAAATCTAAGGCCTAGAAATATATAATGTTAAGGCTTTGCTAAAACTTAATAAAATATACTTGTGACCAAACATTATAATATTATTCGTAAATTATAATTAAAGTATATAAAACATGATGGAAGTCAGCGTATAAGCCTATAGATCTGTAAAATTAAGGCTGATCTACAAAAATTGCTTATCTAATGATTCGTACACAATATCTAAAATAAGCAGGTTAAAATTTGTTACAGTAAAACTAAACTGGTATTTTTGTTTTGTTTGACGACTGTATTAATAAATAGTATTTCTAAATCTACAGCAAACGAAAAACAACAACTTAGAAAGTGGATAGACCAAATTATATGTTGCAGGTGTTACATGGCATAGAGTGGCACTGCCCTGCGATTCTGTAACTCACTTTTCGAACTCACACAGCGGTTTTCGCATCGGCGGTCGCTCTCAAATCAGTCGTGAAGCAGTCATTTTATGATTTGGCATTCTGATAAACAAAAAGTGGAAGCTGTATTTAGATTGCCAATTTATAAAAAACCGCTGTGTGAGTTCGAAAAGTGAGTTACAGAATCGCAGGGCAGTACAGGGAGGAATGGCACACAGATACCTAAAAGAAGATTGAAATAGAAACGTGTTTAAATGTAAAAGTATCTGAATTAATTAAAGCTATTATTATTATTTGGAAATCTATTAAAATTATTTCAAGTACTCTTGCGTAGCGGGTATGGGGCGATATGGAGCCAGTTTTTTTTACTTTGTGAATTTACTTTGTTTAAACATTTATATAAAAATGTCTTTTTAAGAATTTATTAATCAAAGACATGTGAGATTAAAATATTTATTTGAGCGAGGAAAGCACCAGGTCTTGGGTTACCAGTACTATCTACCAGGCGCGAACTTAACCCCACGAATATAATTCGATATTATAATTACTTATATTATATCCGATATAAATATGAATTAACCTAGCCGATTTAAAAATATTCAGCCAAGCATATTGACGATAACGCGCAATGTCTGGTCATTAGTTTTTTCGTATAAAATGCATAATTTTCGACTGAATATTATCACTTGAGGCGTGGCATCCGAAGATAATTGGTGAGTTCTATTTATTTTTAATTATTTTTATTTGTGTTTAAATAGTGGTGCCTCTGGTCCCTACTTATATTGTCCCGAAGAATAATCTTGTGTCCTGTAAAGCACAAACAGATACAGATTAATATCTACTCAAGTAGATCTTAGTGGATATATTTATATGCAAGCCTAAATGTAATTTTGTGGACCTGGATACCCTAGACAACATCTGATTTGTTCAGAAGATCACGCTTTGGCAAAATCTCACCGATATCCAGATTAAGCATTCTGATAAACGAGCTAGGTCTGGATATCCATAGTTGCTCAACTCATACTTTGAAATCGATTTTCCTTTAGTTTTATAATTTATGAATGTGTTTTTTTCTTTGTGCTTGTATTTTATTACCAAATTCAACCAAATAGATCAAATCTCACATTTCACATGGTTAAACAAAGACATAGTGTCAACCTAAACCGAAGTTATGGTTGTTTGGTTATTTTATTCCATGCATATACTTTACAATTATTTACTTTTACAGATCCACCATGGTTTTCAAACTTCTACTCCTTCTTCCTGCACTGGCAATCGCCAAGATCGAGATAGAGCTTTCTGGCACATTTGAGAAAGATCTCCACCTATCCTTCACAGGAGAGGAGATTGACGTCATCAGTGACCGCGAAAGAGACACCTTCAAATTGAACGACAGAAATGTGAAAACAGGCGTAGAAGCCTACTTCGGAGGATGGCCTGACGATGCTTACTTGAGGAGCCCAACTCCATGGGGAGATCTATTCAAGTCCTACGGATGGCCGGAAGTTAGAAGAACTCTCGTCCCCAAAAGAGGCCGCATTCTATCCATGACATCGCAACCACAGATTGTCATGCAGCAAATCTTCGAGAACAACAGCTCCAAACCAGCCACCTTCAACGTTGGGATATCCCAATCCCTTCAAAACACTATGAGCTCTTCGTGGAGTAAGTCAGAAGATCTTACCATCAATTCTGAGATCGGTTTCGATTTCGATATTGACTTCGCTAACATTGCTGGAAAGACTTCAATGGTGTTTTCTTCGAGTTATGGAAGCAGCAGCCAGAAAGCACAGACTGTAACTGTTGGATCTTCATCCCATGTCGATGTTTTGTTACAACCTGGCCAGTCTGTTATGGCTGAGCTGCACGCTACCAGAGGATCCTTGAAGGTTGAGATGGAATACGAGGCCAGTGTATCTGGAGACGTCGCCGTAAACTACAACACGCCGTACAAGGGTCATCATTTCTGGGGTCTTAGTGTTGAGGCTGTGATGAACAAAGCTGGTTTGAGCGATCGCCTGACATCAAAACAGGTCATTGATGTCGGCTTCTTCACCAGCTCCAACGTAGTAGTGTATGACAGAAAGTCTAATGATAAGATGATGGACATAGCTTTTTAGATTATTACTGTATAAGTTTCTGAATAAAGTATTTATTTGAGTGTTATCTTATTTTTTATAATTTCAATTCCCGATAATCGCCTGGGTAATCGATAGGCATCAACGTATATTTTTTTAAATAATCGTTTTTAAACATTTATTACCCAACGCAAAAACTTACATAATACACAAAACGCTGAGTTGTTATACCGTAATATGTTAGTACAATGTGTGTGGAATAAAAGTGTGCAACACGTTTTGAATAGTAGCAATGGTAGACGTTTCTTCTCACTAAATACTATAAGGCGTTTTAAATTAACTTAAATTTTTAATGATCGAATATCGACTAAATGAACTGAAACACTACACGACATGCAATGATAATAATTAGTCGTAGTCAAATGTATTTCCTTAATATCTCTCTACCTTGATAGTTGCGTACCTTTGTTTAAAATTTTAAATTTTATCTCTCCCCTAAATGTCCTTATTCGTTCACAATAACTTAAACATTTTAAAGTCAACGGGAATAGACATCTGTCGAGGTAAAAATGGAGAGAAATTATTGGCTGTGCTAAAAATTAATCTGGTATGTATAGGAAAAACACCTTTTGTATGGCAATTAAGGTTTATAATAATTTACCAAAACCATTAAAAGATGTTTTGGAAAAAAAATATTATTCTATTAATAATAATTTGAATATATTTTTATAATGTCAAATTTTATCACTACAAATAATATTAGAATTGACTATAATGATATAACTCATAATGTAATTGCAACTTTTATTCTATCTTTTAAGACAAATTTGCACGCCATTATGTGTGGCATGATATGCGAACTTTAGATTGTACCACCATAACATTTTTGTACTATTTTCCACGTTCCACTTTCTGCCACCTACACACAACTGTCAATATAGCATCGACAAACAACAAATTTGATGATATTTTCCAAAGTTTTATGAAAAATACTATGGAAGAGTGTAGTGACACTAAAAGTAAGTGTAAGAAAACTAATATGTTACAATTTAAATATATTAAATAAAGAATTTCTTATGTCATATATTTAATTTTTTTTTATTTCTGCCATATGGTCACTCTGTCGTACGAATGGCTTAAGCATTAGCCACCCAGTTTATTAAATGTTGTAACAAACGCTACGGCTGAATAACATTTAGATCGCTTGTTAAACGACGGCGCTGACTGAACGGCTAATTAAACTAGTTGGTTACGACTTATATATTTTCCCCAAGTGGCTTATATATCCAAAATATTATAAAAGAATAATATCTAGTTGTGTCTTTTTATATCTATTAACAATGTTTTAAATGTACTAAGAGAAATTAGATGCCAAAATAATATTTAGTAATAATAGTCACATTAAGTAAAATGTAGATAGAGAATTATTTATAGTATTCATAACGGACACTCAGAGTATATTCCTAACAATTAAATTTTGTATTAGTTTGACACAATAACGAAATATAATTTGCTGTATGAATATTACGTAGACTTAAAGACCTAATATTAAAAAACAACAGGCGTTATTAAATTACAAATAAAACGAAACAAGAACTCTAGTTTATAATTATTGTCTTTTCAGAAAAATAATCTTCTGAAATCTTTTCAGAGAAGACAATTTCCTCAAGATGTTTTCATTTCCCGTTTGAGCGAATGTTAAATGCGCACGTAGAAAGAGTCCATTGGTGCACGACCTAGCATCGAACCTACGACCTCAGTGATGAGAGGTTTCAGCTCACTTATAGAGGTTTTAGGAGGGCAAACTGCCGAAACCCGGTAAATACTTACTCTTATTAATAGAGTTTGATTGTAATACTAATAGTATTAGGGAAATAAATTAAAACATAAAAATATAATTTTTATTCTCACAATTGAATTACTTTTAACTTTTGCTCAGTTTTCGTGTAGAACTCCATTTCTATAACTTCTTTTGTTATTAGAGGTCTCGTTCCAATTATCGATAGTACGTCAGCAACTTCAACTGCCCAGAAATGATGACCCATGAGCTTGTTTTTGTAGTTAAGGACCACGTTTCCTGATAGAGTGGATTCGTACACCACCTCTATTTTTATATTAGCCTTTATTGTTCGTACTTCTACTTCTAAAGCTTCATTTGTTTTTAATTTGTCTTTGAAACGAATCTCTGATCCAATTTTAATAGGATTTAGTTCTTCAGTGTCGATTCTCCATGGAACTGTCAAGTGAAAATCTTTCCCGCCAATTTGCGTGAAATCAAAATGGTGGCTGACGTTGCCATTAATAGATATTTTCTTCGGATTGTACCAGTTTATTGTAACTTCGTCCACAGATCTGGACATATTTCCCCAAAGCGTTGCGTTACTTGATGTCTTATTTGTGTATTTTTGTTTGGCAACTGTTTGATTTCTGAACTCCTTCGAAACTACAACGCTAGATATGGGTTTTGTTGTAACCGTTACTTCCTTCCAACCGTACGTTGTGTATAAATCACCCCAAGGTGTTGGACTCTTAAGGAATACGTCGTCAGGCGGTTGACCGAACTGAACACTGACAGCATCCTTCAATCTTTCCCCTGTTTGTTTTAAAATTTCTTTTTTCCCCACTCTTTTTATCTCCACTTTCTCCCCAAAACGTCCCCACTCCCCTTGTAATTTTTTTTTTTTTTCCCCCCCCCCCCTTTTTTTTGGGGGCGCGCTTTTTTTTTTTTTTTTGGGGGGGGGGGGGGGCCGCCCCCCCCCCGTCCGGGGGGGGGCCCCCCCCCCCCCCCCCCCCCCCCCCCCCATTTTTGGTTGTTGTGGGTTTTTTTTTTTTTTCCCCTCCCCCTTTTTTTTTTTTTTTTTTTTTTTTTTTTTTTTTTTCCTTTTCCCCCCCCCCCCCCCCCCCCCCCCCCCCCCCCCCCTTTCTTTTTTTAATTTTTTTTTTTTTTTTTTTTCCCTTTTTTTTATATTTTTTTTTTTTTTTTTTTTTTTTTTTTTTTTTTTTTTTTTTTTTTTTCCCCCCCCTTTTTTTCTCCCTTTTGTGTTTCCCCTCTTTTTTCCCCCCCCTTTTCCTTTTTTTTTTTTCCCCCCCTTTTTCCCCCCCCCCCCCCCCCCCCCCCCCCCCCCCCCCCCTTTTTCCCCCCCCCCCCCCCCCCCCCCTTTTTTTCCTTTCCTCGTTTTTTTGGTGGGGGGCGCCCCCCGCCCCCCCCCCCCCCCCCCCGGCGGGGGGGGGGGGGCGCCCCCCCCCCCCCCCCCCCCCCCCCCCCCCCCCCCCCCCCCCCCCCCCCCCCCCCCCCCCCCCCCCCCCCCCCCCCCCCCCCCCCCCCCCCCCCCCCCCCCCCCCCCCCCCCCCCCCCCCTCCCCCCCTTCCCCCCCCCCCCCCCCCCCTTCTTTTTTCCTTTCCCCCCCCTCCCCCCCCCCCCCCCCCCCCCCCTCCCCCCCCCCCCCCCCCCATTTTTATTTTTTTTTTTTTTTTTTTTTTATATTTTTTTTTTTTTTTTTTTTTTTTTTTTACTCCTTTCTTCCCCCCCTCCGCCCCCCCCCCCCCCCCCCCCCCCCCCCCCCCCCCCCCCCCCCCCCCCCCCCCCCCCCCCTCTTCTTTTTTTTTTTTTTTTTTTTTTTTTTTTTTTTTTTTTTTTTTTTTTTTTTTTTTTTTTTCTCCCCCTCTCCCCCCCCCCCCTTTCTCCCCTCCTTTTTTTTTTTTTTTTTTTTTTTTTTTTTTTTTTTTTTTTTTTTTCTCCCCCCCCCCCCCCCCCCCCCCCCCCCCCCCCCCCCCCCCCCCCCCCCCCCCCCCCCCCCCCCCCCCCCCCCCCCCCCCCCCCCCCCCCCCCCCCCCCCCCCCCCCCCCCCCCCCCCCCCCCCCCCCCCCCCCCCCCCCCCCCCCCCCCCCCCCCCCCCCCCCCCCCCCCTCCTCCCCCTTTTTTTTTTTTTTTTTTTTTTTTTTTTTTTTTTTTTTTTTTTTTTTTTTTTTTTTTTTTTTTTTTTTTTTTTTTTTTTTTTTTTTTTTTTTTTTTTTTTTTTTTTTTTTTTTTTTTTTTTTTCCCCCCCCCTTTTCCTTTTTTCTCCCTGTTTTTTTCTCTTTTTCTTTTTTTTTTTCCTCTTCTCCCTCCCCCCCCCCCCCCCCCCCCCCCCCCCCCCCCCCCCCCCCCCCCCCCCCCCCCCCCCCCCCCCCCCCCCCCCCCCCCCCCCCTTCTTCTCCTTTTTTTTTTTTTTTTTTTTTTTTCTCTTTTCTTCTCCTTTTCCCCCTTCCCCTCCCTCCCCCTTTTTTTTTTTTTTTTACGTCTTATTCATATTTATACAAATCTAAAATTTGAGACTTAGGAGGAATGTTATGTTAGGAATTTAATGAATTTAATTGCCATTATAATATTAAAAGTGTTTAAAATTAATACAAATTATATACTTTTTTATATTTATTTGTTCGATAATAAAAACCCGTGGCATTTTAATTTAATTATTTTGCATACAATATAAAATACAAATATTTCATAAATTCTAAATTTTAATTTTTTTATATTAATATATATAATTAATTTTAATTTTAAAAATAGAATTTCTATAATTCGCCCTTCTCACTCTCTCTCAATCGGTCTCAATTGCTCACTAATATTATTATTATTGCTCAGCGCCCAAAGAAGTTTCATTTAAAAAAATGGTGGGTTTGTAACAAGAATTACCAGTGACCATTGTGACTGTCCTATGGCCCGTTGGTATTTAGGGGACTTTGCTGATTTTGCCTTATGGCTGTATTAATTGTGCAGTGTTGGCCAAGTGCCTTCAGCGTGGGAGTGTGACCCCGGCTGTGCACCAATGGACTTTCTGTCTATGAGCGAATTTTACATTCGGAGAAGGAAAACATCTTGAGGAAACCGGCTTGTCTTAGACCAAAAAACCCGACGGCGTGTGTCAGGCACAGGAAGCTGATCACCTACTTGCCTATTAGACAAATAATCATGAACCAGATACAGAAATCTGAGCCCCAGACAGATGAGAGAGAGAGAGATGTTACAATATTCTGTTCATAAATACACAAAACAATAAGACGCCATTAGGAGCTTTCTAGAATTCAAAGTAATTAAAAGCCTGACCGATTGGCTGCTATAACTAGTGTTAAAAAATAGATATAGTTAATTAAAATGTATGTTATCGCTTCGATTAAAATTATGGAAATATGTACTTATCTGTTAGTGAATAATTTTATTATTATTATTATATGTATGTAATGTCACAAACGGTAAATATTTTGATTTTGTTTAGAACGATTAAAATAAATAAAAATCTTCTTTAATACTCACACGTCGCTTTGCAAAGTGAATCCACTTATTAATGTTTTGAACAAAGATAAATCTATGGTATAACATCAAACCAGCTTCTCTAAATAAGGTGGCTTAGATACGTAGCAGCCTTAATACGCAGCAATGTCTCTTAGATTATCTCATCATCATAAAAGTTAAAATAATGGAAGCAAAACGTTCTCCAAACCCTAATTTACTACTCACTGATTAAATTTATTTTACTTAATTTAGTTATAGGTACTAAAGATAGTTAAGAAACATTAATTCATTGATTTGATCTAGACGTTTTAGTAATAAAATTCACTTTAAAAATCGAATAGGTATAGCATAACCGTTCACTCAGAATATTGATTCATCCGTTGAAAAAGTTTTAAAATCACATCGTGTCTAAACCGCCTTGAGGAAAGATCTTAATAATAATGTTTAGTTTTGTTTTTTTAATTACGTTATAATGTCAGCCAGTTAAGGTGCGTGAATCGTTTGTAATAAAACCTCCTCCTTAATCAGGTTTTGAAATTAGAAATAAAATCTGGTTCAACAAGTTCTTTAGATCAATTAATTACGAATATAAGAATAATAATAAATATTTTAGTTTCATTCGAAATTTCCTTAGTAGAGGACAAATCGTATCTTTCGCATCACATTTAAATTTTCCGGAAAAATAACCTTAGAATAGATTTTAATTTAAAATTTTAAGTCAGTGATCTAAACTTTAAATAAAAGAAAAAAAGCCCTTAAAAGTGTTCGATTTGGTTACATAATTCCAACTTTATATTTAAAATACATCAAAATAATTGATTTTTATTAAATACTTATATATACTTAAAACATAATAGCTTATTGTGATATATGTGAATATTTAAGTTTTAGATTTTATTTATTACTATACAATCATGTCAAAGCAATTTTGACAGTTCAATTTCAAAATTTACATAGAAACCATAAACAATGTAATCGTTGCGATTCTAATACGTTTCAATTTATAGAAGATACGTAAAAATATTATTGAATTTAGGAACTCATCAGCATCTCAACTGGATTGTTTTAAGAAAGTTCATGGGGCCTACCAGCTCAGTATTCTGTAATGTTACTATGTCACTACATACTATTCGAGTAATTGGTTGTCATCACTACACAATTTAATAGAACTTGTAATACAAACCTTGGAACTTCGAAGTTTTATCTTCCTGGCGATAAACTCTCGTTTCATAAACTAGATGGCGACATCCAGACTAAAATTACATCAATCAAGGCCATTGACCATATATAAAAAATACCGGGAAATTTAATAAGTGAAACAAAACACTTGAGGTTTATCAAATTATTAGAAATATTATTATACCGTTACAGAGTATCTGACTGATAGATTTTAATTTCTTTGTGTAAGTTTAGTATAGTGCAAGCTTTGTATAGTGAAGTCTAAGCAAATATATAATGTATCTACTTAAGATTAAAAATGTAAAATAATTAAGTATAACAAAGCATACCCATTCACAACATTGCTGTGTCTAACCAAGGTCATTATTGTAACAAAATTATAACATGACACCTGTCAAGTATAAATTTAAGGACTGCAATAAAGATTTGACTTTTCACTTTTGGCGTTAGTGGAACAAATCGTTATTTAAAAAAAAAGCCACAGTTTACAATAAAAAAAAATTTCACACCTAATCGAACCTTCCTGTTCAATGTCCTCGAAGTAATGTTGGTGAAATCTATTGGTAAGTTTACAAGAAACAAATAAAACACCATTTATAATAACAACACACTTTCATTTAAAAATTCTATTCTATGTTACATGATTAAACCTAAAATTTACATGAACTTAATTAAATAAATAACTACATTTTAGTTGCAAATCATGTTGAAGTTTATTAGAAAAGTTGTGCTGGTGTAATAGCGCTTATAATAAATATATTTATTAAGACGCAGTAAGATCTTAATATAAAATGCGATTCTAAATTTCAACAATCTATAGAAAACTGTCTGTCCTTCTCTATATAATTTAAACAGAATTTGGCAGAAAGAGTAAGAACTATATAACATTATACAATTAAATTTATGAAAATGTACAATATGTATGAATAAAATAAGGACAAAATGTATTTCAGCGCCACCTAGGCAAGGTTTTAAAACTTTTAAAAATGAGAAGCGGTGACTTAAATTACTTATAAATAAAATATAGATTAAATAGAACTTAAATATACAATAATTTCTATAGGAAGCCAATAATCACAAATTCAGACTATTATTTTAAACCTTATTCACACCAATTTAATTTAATTTATACCAATGTTATTTCTTTTAATCATACAGAATCCGATTATTTTATATTATAAAAAAGAAACAGTAAAAAATACAAATTACGGCCTTTAAAAAATCTATACTCGACTTTCCAATAATAAAACCAATAAAAATTTTGTTTCGTTCACATGACGTTGACACGTGTCAAGTTGATGCTTAACATAGATGGCGCTATTTGCAAAAATAATAATTTAATAATAAAATAATAGATAGTGTGGTTACCCTTATGAACTAATTTCTAATATTTTTATAATTCCTTAATTTAAGTTGTTATAGAAATTGAATTATAAATTTCTTGAAACGCGCCATCTATGCGTAGCCATAAGTACTTGACACAATATATCAAACAATGCAACCACAGATGATATTGAATTTTGCAAATGATATAGATTACAGAGTAAGGGCTCTTGTTATTTTAGATACATTGTAACTACTGATTGTTAGTATGTGATTCGTACCAATAAATAACCTTTTGCGATAAGCAGCTTCTAAACGAAAGGCTTAGTATCACGAATGGTGATACGGCAGGTGAGCTAGAGGGTGTTCATATAAGGCGTGTGGGTATATAGGAGGTGCTGACGTCAAGTGCGCAGGAGTGACATGTGGCGCGTCGCTGTCATCATCTGTCGAAGAGTCTAGTTGCTTGTCGCCGGGACCGCCACTGAAAAAAAATTTTAACATATTATAGTAAATTATCCGAGCTTGGCGAATCCAGCTGGGCAAGGGACTGATCTTGGTAAGAGAACCGTCCATTGTTTTTTACGTTTTCTAAAGTACTTAAGAAGTTGTGAGGAGGGAATATGAAGCTAAAGACGCGATTTTGAATTTTAATTGGTCAACCTCAACTGGTGAAAGATGCGTTCACATGCGTCACGTAAACGATAGCTAAAGACGAAGACGTAATAATGTCTAAAATGTCCTGAAGGGTGAAATAAGAAAAAGACTGATGAAACGATGGTGATTTACGTTTGGTCATTAAACAAAAAATAAATTAGGGGCGCAGTTTCGTGAACATTTGTCAATCTAATAGGCAAGTAGGTGATCAGCCTCCTGTACCTGACACACGCATTGACTTTTTGTGTCTTAGGCAAGCCGGTTTCCCCACGATGTTTTCCTTCACCGTTCGAGCGAGTCTTAAATGCGCACATAGACAGTCCATTGGTGCACAGGACCTCAGTGATGAGAGTCACACGCTGATGCCACTAGGCCAACACTGCTCTTTGTTGTGATTGGTCAATATAGAAGACGGATGACGTCACTTGTGAAACGTGGGTCAGATAATCATATACTATATAATACGACATCGTCTTTGTTTACCACGAACATTTTGATATCATGGTTTTGTCCATGAGTTACATAATAATCAGGGCCGGGCCACGGCCCCGGTGCCTCCACAAGAATTGACTTCAGAAAAAAAATGTTTTAAATTCCAACTAGTAAACAACTTTTCTTTTGATATATTTTTATATGTTTGTTAAATACTAAAATAATCTACTTGGTTTCACAATAAATTATTAATTGAGAAAATCGACTGAAACAAATTGTTCATTTTATTTGGAAAATAATTTGGGGCCACGAGGCCTCCACTCCTTTGTTGCCCCGAGGTCCTCTAAATCCGGTACCTGATTACAATTGTAAAATTTTAAACACTTTTCGTAATTCATTTGAATGCAATTCAATTTAGACAATTGTAAGACAACCATTGTCATGAATTAGGAATAATTATACTATAAACCTAATTTAAAAAAAATAGATTTGAATACTTTGAGCTTTTTTTTTTGTAACTAACAGGCAGAAGGCTCGCATGATGTTTAGTGACACCGCCGTTAAACACTCACTTCGCCAGAGGGCTCGCAAGTGTGTTGTCGGCCTTTAATTCGTGTTGTCTTAAATATCAAAGATTTTAACAAAGGAACGCATAAATATTAGAAATATGATAGCGTCGAAAATCGTATTTAATATTGTAATAAACAAGAAGTGAGATCGGGGCATAATTCTAGAGTCGCGATATATATACCATAAACTAAAGATAAATTACATTGGTGCTCCGCGTTGAACGGAGGTGTCGGTGGTGGGTATACACATAATATGGCAACAAAAATCGTCATGGCTATTGCCAGTTAATTAATACTTAACTATGTTTAATAGTTTAATAATAAAAAAAAAAATATTTACCTTGACCCTGACTATCGCAAACTATCTCATGATTTGTCGTTGACATTTAATTTAAAAGTACGATTATTGAGTAACTGTTATAGTGTGGTATAAACCAAGTTACTATGTTGATGGTCAATGGTGACTTCAGTCGACTGTCACATGTCATATAAATATCAGGAGCATAGAATCGGACCCCTGACATATCGAGTTACCAAGTGAAGGTAAAATAAAGTGACGTACTGACAACCGCCCCCAGTAATGTGATACGTGCGGGCGATAGACGAATAGACAAACGGTTTCCATCATTTTTATATCTCAAAATTAAACAAAAAAGTTTCACAGCTATTAACTGCGTCTTTATGCATTGACGGTTGTCTATGAATATCCATAGATTGAGTTAAAACGTCATATCAATGTCTTCGCCCCATCTGTCTCAATATTTTTTCTTGTTTATTTAACAGTTTATTGCTAATTCAGTTTTTATGTAAAAAATATAGCCACAGTATATAAAAAACACGAAAAAAAATTATCTACTAACAAAAAAAAATTGTTTTGTTTTTTTTCTGGGGCGGCCGCAGATCAGGCGGAAAATGACCTCCAACTTCGATTTTGGTCCCTTTGGAGTAGAGGCTCTTGAGTAGTGGGATTAAAGTGCACAGGCGCTAATTAAAAATTCAAGTTGGCGCCTGGTAGATTGTACCGGTGACCCCAGAGCTGGTGCTTTCCTGGCTCAACGTATAAGTATCGCAATACAGCGAGGAAATGCTGCCAGAGTTAAAGTTACACTGCCACAGAGACCAACTTTTAAATTTCTTATAATTTTCTCTTTATTAATTTTTAACCATTTTTATTATTATTAGGTTAAGAAAATTGGCGTGTGTGTTTTTGTGATCTCAGAAATCCATTCGATTTGCTTACTTCCTTCGAAAATACACGTTTGGAGAATTACAATTTTGTAGAAAAAAATGGGATATGAAACAGCTCAGTATAACGAGTTCTATAATAAATTTATATATTAAATAATAACCAGATCAGGCTTCAGTGAATGGAGTATTTGGTTTCACCTTGAAATTCAGAGTCGAGAAGTTCCAATACCTCTAGTATTCGAAAAGTGCTAAGCGCTAAGTCTAGACTCAGAATCTGACATTAGACATGCCGGTTTCCTTGCGATCTTTTCTTTCGTCGTATGGGTGAGTGTTACGTAGAAAGAAAAGACTGATGATGATGATGATATTAGTTTATCCCTAATGGGAGAGGCAAAGGACTTTAGTCCATAGAGAAAAAGACCGATGAACCATGAACGACTTTGTCGCACGCTTAAGACAAGCTTCACCACAGAGAACAAAATAACGCTTTTCGACATTTAAATCTAACACACTAAAGTATGTTGTATCCCGTAACACACTTGGCATCTTCTCCATAAATCTTTTCTACATAATAAGTTATTTGACAATATGATAAAAGTATAAAACGTGACTTGAATTTTTTTTTTAATAACTTGTACATAATCACTAATTTATTAAATAATCTAAATTTGATTTTCATACAGTCACAGATTAGTCTAATCGAGGATGACGTAACATATTTATGAATTACTAGCTGGCCTGGCGAACATCGTACCGCCTAACAGTAGATTCTTTATTTTTTTTAAATACTTATTCTGCATAAAAAAAAAATAAAGAAAGTTGATAAGACAACAAATACATTATGTCAAAAAATAAAAATTTACCTTCCCGGAACCCCTCCACTAACACTTGAACTTTATGATATGGTATTAAAGTTCAAATTGACTTTTAAGTATTATTACGAATATTTTGTATGGGAATATAGAAAAGTGTTGTTTTTAGACTTTTTCACTCATTTTTTTTAATTTTTCTCTCCGTAAGAACCATCCTCGTACTTCAAGGAATATTATAAAAAAAGAATCAAACAAATCGGTCAAGCCGTTTTCATGTTATGTCGTGACAACGGAAAACGGGTTTCATTTTTATATGCATGTGCCTATCTCATCCTAGTACAGTCTCAGAGTTAAAATTCCTCAAAGACTGATGTTTATTGTGTATTTGTGTAATTTTATAATGATAATTATCCTTACAAAACAACCCTTACACAAATCACCGGCGCAGAAATACTAAAACAAAACCGTATAAAATCCCGAGATCAGATGAAATCAGAATGAAACGATAGATTTCTGCTGCTATTTTGATACAACCTCTAATTCCCTTGTTCATCCTGATCCTAACTACGGGTCAGGTTCCAGAACAATGGAAGAATTCCGACATAATATATAAAAAAGAAGACCCAAACATAGGCAGACTACAGACCGATTAGAGTGCTTTCTTGCCCACCACCATTGTCCCGATATCGCCACTGAATTTAGGGCCGTGTGTAGACGCTTATAAGTTGGAGGAGCCCTATACTAAAGATGGGGATCCAAACCCAACTAAACAGTAAACTTTATATAATGTAATACACAATTAATGCTTCCATAAATTCTGAATTATTGAAGTGAAAACTTCTTTGGCGGCGTTGTAAAATTTTTTGGAATAGGTAAAAAAAATTAAACTCGCGTCAGGACACGTGACCTGATCGAAAATTCGTAAGACGGATGGAGAGTAGACAGCCGGCGCGGCGTATTTAATGTAATATAAATTGTCATGTTTGTGTACGATAGCGCAATAAATAAATATTGTTTACCACATAAATGATAGTACTTTTATACTGATAATTAAAGCAATTCGTGCAAAATTATTCCCTAACCATTCCAAAATATCAAAAATGCACAACGTTAATATTTAAGTTTTCACTTCTGCCGGCACTCCCGGAGTGCAACCCGTCGTTTTTAAATCCTCTCAGATTAAAATTAACAGTTTGTATGGTTTCTAAAATCATTAATAAATAATCCGAAATTGTTTATAATCTTTAAAATTAGCCTACAGACCAACTTAGCCTACCTTTCTTTTTTATGGCAATATTAGCCTACCTTAATAATTTCTACATTATTGAACTAGACATGGCAACATTTAAACCTTCGTTACCTTAAAAAGGAAGCGCCATATACAATACAACAATAGTTTAGGCGTTTTTTTTGTTTTTGTGAAAGGATCTAATACTTAATCCTGTTTGTGATCGATGAAGTGAAAATGTGCGGATGACTGGTTAAAAGGTATTAATTTTTTATCCGTTTTTGGTGGACGTGACCACCTGAGTCGGGGTTTTAGTAGAATTTCCATACAACACGAATTTTACTTAATAAGTATTATTACGACATCGTTTAGACTTTAGAACAACATACCTCTTATACTGACCAAAAACCAAGGTCCCGGCCGAATTCTATTGTTTACTATAGGTACTTAATAACAACGTCATCCGCTGTTACGACTATCGGTTTTTACGACCAAATTTGAGTAGTGGATGTCGTTATAATAGATTTTGACTGTATACATAATCTAAAACAAATCGCTTCTATAAAGTTACATTTATACAAAACTATGCGTGTTTGTTGTTCGACAGATTTTGATTAAATTTGTTGTTCAAGTCCCTATTTATCCCTTTTTTTATTATAATTATGTAAACAACGGAACGAATCTGTATCGGCACAGATTCATTGAAAATCTTGGACCCATAGTTAATTTTTGTTAACTATTTTGCCCTCTAAAATATTTTTATTTTTATCTTCTTTATATTGTAAAGTAATTGACATTCCTTAACCGATTTTGATTAAATTTTTGTACGTGTTCAAGTGGTTTATATTTACTAGATTTTTATTGTATTTAAGAAGTGTCGAGTCCACTTACATATTTACTTTTTTTGTACGCACTTTTAAGGCAAACGGCAGATACAATAAATAATTTTCAGTAACAACCACTTAATAACCACTATATAACGCGGAAACGCGAAATGAACGAACGTGCGAAAGAGAGGTGGTGTGCGAGCGAAACGGCCTCATGTAATCTGACACCATCCCATCTGCGTCTAAAAGCGTTCAGGGGCGGACTTGGAAAATAATTATTAATTTTGACACTTATTTAATGTGGAAAGTGTTGTGATAATCCTCCAGAATTTGTAAGAACAATAAAAAATATATCTAAGATGTGTTTTAATAAAACTTTAGTACTTTTTATTAAAAACAGTGTTATTTATTTGAATGAAGTAACGACTAATAGTTTTGTAAAATTCCTTTGAATAGTCAAGGGACTTGACTGTCAAAAACATGTGAAAGAAAAGAATTGAGATCTAAATCGATGCCAAGTTCTTTTTGAACGTAATTTATCTGTGTTTAGCTACTTAAAATTTTATTAGACAACGTTTTTAAATAAAAATACGGAGTCGCATAGCTCGGACGATTTCATCATCTATACGACTTGTTACAGCTTATGATGGGCAAAACTCAAGGCAAGAGACTGGCTGATAGAAGAAGTGGTTGCGGAATGTACGGGAGTGGACCGGCATCACATCCACCGAGGAGCTTTAGACTAGTGAAAGATACCCGGCAACCATTAGCAACAAAGTGGCACCAGAAGAAGACGTTACCGAATAACTGTGCAAATATAGTCCAAAATATGGCAGATTTTCAGAACGGCTAAGCGGATTTAGATAGAATTTTGGCACCGTTAAGCCATAGTTAAGTATTAAACTGTAGTAGGATCCTTAGGCGAAATAAATAAAATAAATCAGTGGCGCTACAACCTCTGATTTCTGAATCCGCTTCATGATCATTTTTCAATCTAATAGGCAAGTAGGTGATCAGCGACCTGTGCCTGACACACGCCGTCGACTTTTTGGGTCTAAGACACGTCGGTTTCCTTCATATAATTCCGGGTATTTAATAAAACCCTTGCAAAATTTTAATAAAACGAAGAAAACCGGGCCATAAGCATATACAGACAGCTGAGCGTCTACAGTAACAATTATTTTGCAACTTTCGACTCTATTCAATACAGGTTAAAAGCTATTTTTGTATGTGTTTTGTTTGTTTGTACGGGATATCAAGTTACTAAGCCAGCGAGTATGGTTGAGTAAATTCGTTCACTACTTTGTACTGTGGGTCTGTCTATAATAGGGGTTTCAGAATTTTTTAGTTTAATTTATAATAATTAATTTAACAATAAAAATAGCTCCAAAAATTAGTTTTAATACGTTTTTCATTATATTCCTTTTGACAAATCACAATTAAAGAACGCGTTTTATTATTTTAAGTTTGTTGAAACTACCCGCAAATTGACATTTATGAGGGTAATTCAAAAAAAACTCACCTATCTTTGTGTTCAGCCTGTCTGTCTCGTTGTCGTCTGTTTTTGAACCAATTTGAAACCTGTAAAATAAAATTAAAACGTTATTCAAACCCCGAATCTTAATTAAACTGTCCTGGTACCAGATGTACAGGTCCATCACTTGCATTCATCAGCAGATTTAATACTTGCGGCACGTTTACAGTGCCTACATTACCATCCATTCCACCCATAGATGGAGAACGCTGCTCTATGAATGGAGATCTATGAAATAGACCCAGATGTGTCTATAGTATAGTTCATAAATAATATTAGTCCAACTGTATCATTTTAACTAATCACCTATCTCTTTTCATCATAGTGAAAACACTATTTGAAAGAAAGAGACGAAGTACAAATATATTAATTTAGTTTTTATTAATTGGTACTATTTTAATTTGTTTTTAATATTATTGTTACTTGAAAACACGTATACAGTATATAAAGACGCGATATGTATATTAATTCATCATTTACTCAAAATGTAGTTAATTGATATATGTAATACAACTCTACATATTATATCAATTAAGATATATGTTACCCATAAACGTTGTTTAAGCCTCAAATATCTATTGTTTTCGATGTCACATAATATAGTCTTTGTGACAGGACATTATTTAATTATAGTTTAAAATAGTTTAAGACTATCCAAATAAATGAGCATATTATGTATTAACCGAGTAATGTGTGCTGTTTTCAAAGCTGATATCCTGTGATAGAAAATCTCCAAGAAAAACCATGAAAATTAACCTAGTTTTTGACATATGACACTTCTTAATATTTTTCTCAGAGCCGAAACTTACATTTAGGCGCTAAGTAACTTTCGTGTGTCAAAATCCGTTTTTGACACAAAATAATGTCAGGCACATTTTTTTTATTATAGAACAGGGGCAAACGGGCAGGAGGCTCACCTGATGTTAAGTGATACCGCCGCCCATGGACACTCTCAATGCCACAGGGCTCGCGAGTGCGTTGCTGGCCTTTTAAGAATTGGTACTCTCTTTTCTTGAAGGATCCTAAGTCGTATTGGTTCGGAAATACTTCAGTGGGCAGCACATTCCCTAAATGGCTTTTAATAAGTGCAATAGGATCATAATTTTTATTTCCACGAATCGGGCATTAGACCATTTCATCATTGGACGTCGAGGCCGAATACGCAATTCCACCCGTATCACCTCGACGTCCGTCGTCCCACCACTATGGGGAACCAGCTGCCCACTGAAGTATTTCCGAACCAATTCGACTTAGGGTCCTTCAACAAAGGAGTGTACCAATTCTTGAAAGGCCGGCAACGCACTCGCGAGCCTTCTAGCAGTGTAAGTGTTTATAAACGGCAGTATCACTAATCATCAGGTGAACCACCTGCCGGTTTGCCCCGTTATATAAAAAAAATCGCTGCACATCTTCGTGACGCTAATATTATTATTATTGCATTTCAATTCAATTTACACACAAGAAGTTTCAATTCAAAAAGTAAGAGGATTATGTCAACTCGTCTGAGGAAAATCTAATGTCCATAAATTTTTCTTTATTTTTCCACAAGTTGCGGTGAAACCTTACACCAATCTACCGCTTCCTCAAAGCCAACGTATCAGTTTACGATACAGCCTTTGGGAAAAATATAATTATTTACCTGTACAGTTGTGAGTCCAGTGCTTTCAGCTAACTCCCGTTTTTCTCGCGGAGATGGGTACGGATTGTGCAGATACCAGTCCCGGAGAACTGATCTCGATTTTTCCTACACACATACAAAACATAACATAAATAAATTAGACAGGGATATGTATGACTTCGATAATGTAACCTAGAAACATTTCTACTAATATCCCGATATGGCGTACGCTGTAGAAACAAGCAAGCTGTGCAAAAGTGCTAATCCACTTAGCTGTGCAAGCTAAGTGGATGTACCTACTCTTGTTTTATAGAAGACATCAATACATATCTCATTATAATTTCATAACATCAAAGTGAAATTAGTTCAAAACTGTTCTGTGGAATATTTGATTTGCCAATGTTAAAAGATCTACCAATTAACAGACTTTTTGATAGTCTGTAGTAATATCATAAGATTTATTATTAATGTAGGAGCAATGGTGTTAGTGTCAGCTGCCATTGTCATTATAATTTAATAACATCAAAATCGAACGGCAGTCAAATGAACGAGTGTCAAAGATTACTTTAATAATGATTGTCATTAAGTTTCAAATGTTTAAAGTTATAAGATTATAACCATTATCGACCATTGAATAGTCGTTAATTTATACATCTTGCAACATTGACAAGTTAAATAAACAGTTCGTATTAACAGTTTTGAACTAATTTGACTTTGATGTTATTTAATAATAATAAAAAATGTCAGCTGACACCAGCACCATTGCTCCGACATATATATTGATGTCTTCTATAAAACTGCAGTAGGTACTTTACTCCACTTTACTTTTCATAGCTTCCGGAGCGTACACGATATCGGGATATTAATCGAAATGTTTCATACATATCCCTATTTTGAAAATATGTACTATGTATAGCCAATATTCTAGGGATAATGTAGGATGTAGTGAAAGGTCCAGTATTTTTAGAACCAATCCAGTCTTTTGTAAATAATAATTAATAAAACTTCCCTGAACTAAACAAAACTTTATTAGTACTTTTCTTTCCAATGTTTGAACCTTTTATATATTATGAGTTCGATCTTTGCCTATATGTTTATCAAATTGTTTTTTGTTATATATAATTTATGTTATTTTTATATATGTTTTATACATCTTAAAGGGCTTTATTTTCATATACTCACTTTAAAACAATAAGATGTCTCCTCTCCATCCCAAATAGTGCGCGGCAGTGGAAATTTACGCCGCACCCGATATTTGCCGACGGCGCCGAGGGGCCGTCCGCGGAGCCTCTCCGCCTCCATATAATGTGCTATAAATAATATTTAGATATATATAATTACAAGCTGACCCGGCAAACGTTTTTTTGCCATGTATATTATTTCTAGGAAAAAAATTTTTTAGTTCAATAAAAATATTTAACTACAATAATAAAAAATAGGGATTGATCGTAGAGGGGTGAAAATGAGGGGTTGTATGTATTTGTATCAAAAAAAAAAAAACTTTTTTTTCTATAAATAAAAAAAAAATTGGGGTGGACAGTGGACACCTATCACTTAGGGGTTTGAAAGATAGATAGTAGCTGATTCTCAGACTTACTAAATATGCATTAAAAAATTCATAAGAATCAGTGGAGCCGTTTCGGAGGAGTATGGGAACGAACATTATGACACGAGAATTTTATATATATATTATATAGAAAACTTTATTTAAATTCCCATTAAGTTATAATTAAGCATTAATTAATTACCTTTTAACCACAAACTCTGAAGCTTAGCATGGTTGTGCGCACTGAAGTTATGTGACTCCAACAATCTGTACAGCTCCTTGAAGTTGCCTCTATGGAAAGCGACCATTGCTTTTGCCTTCAGGACCGACTCGTGCGCATGGAGCCGCTCACATGCAGGCAGGGACCAGAGGAAACGCCCTAAACGCTCGATGTTGCCAGCTTGTTGGAGGACCTGTGAAATGGAATGATTTAAGTTTTCAAACGGCTTAAGAGATTAGAGTTAAAATTAAACGTACACAAAATCGTGAATACGTTGTAGCAATAAGTGGGCACTACAATGGGCAGTTAATAACTGACTACAATAGGCAGCAGGGCAGCAGGCAGTATCCAACAGATAAAAAACATCTAATTGTAAATCTAAAAGATTCTCGTCTCCGCTTGAACACACACAAAGAATCATCAAAGTCGCTACAGTTCTTTAAATACATTATATATATCATTTTTTTATTAATATGTCATTTGCATGCCTATTTTTATAAGGCCGATTGCGCGATTTTTTTATAATTTGATTACTTGAATTCAATCTGAATGTACCATTGCAAATAAACTGGTTATTATTATTACAAATTAAATATTTTTTTTTATGGAAGAGGGGGCAAACGGGCAGGAGGCTCACTTGATGTTAAGTGATACCGCCACCCATGGACACTCTCAATGCCAGATGGATCGCGAGTGCGTTGCCGGCCTTTTAAGAATTTGTACGCTCTTTTCTTTAATGACCCTAAGGAGAATTGGTTCGGAAAAACTTCAGTGGGCAGCTGGTTCCAAATAGTGGTGGTAAAAACTGCCTTAAAAACGCTCAATTTTGGAACGACGGACGTCGAGGTGACACGTGTAGAATTTCGTATTCTGCCTCAACGAAGATAAACTTATACAGTAACAGTAAAAAAAAACTCAACATTTACAAATCAATCTTCTATATTATTTATATTTGACAGCAAAACATTAAAATTATGCTGGTATTTTCGACGACTCATTGGTCTAGTGGTTAGTACCCCTGACTACGAATCCATGGGTCCCGGGTTCGATCCGGGTTGTGCTTAGGTCTTGGGTGTTTAAATATGTATTTATATATCTATCTATCAATAATATAAAAATATAAATAGTATATCCGTTGCCTAGTACCCATAACACAAGCTTCACCAGCTTAGCATGGGACTCGGTCAATTGGTGCGAATTGTCTTTAAAAAAAAAAATATATATTCTACAAGTTTCTCTTTTAAACCTTTCCTGAACATGGACAAATACAAGATTCAAAATTAGCCAAATCGTTCCAGCCTCTCGAGTTTAAGCTAACGCACATCAATTAATTTTTATATACATTATTAACTGGGTTCGCATGGCCCTACATTTTTAAAAGCATTTTGTAAATAAGTTAGTGAGAGGTAAGTTGGAATTATTATGGTGCAGAGTTGTTCAATTCGGTCCAGTACATTACAATTCGTACATACATATTATATTCGTATACTTTTATAAAAATTACAAAACCAAATGTAAAACCAAAACCAAATAATATATAGTAATCCTACAGCTAACATAAATTAATATAAGAAAAAACAATAACTAACTTAAAATAAGTTAGTTATTATATGTTAAGGTAAGTTATTTATTTATTTATTAAAGATTTAATAATTAGTATAGTGTGTAGATAATAAAATAAAAAAATAAATAAAAAAAACTTAAAATATATTATTAAAAGGGACGGGACTCCCCTTTAGTTGAAATGAACGCTAACTACCCCAGGAAAAATATACTTTGACAGATATATTGACTTTCAAAGTTCAAACTACGAAGCTAAAGGCAACATACAATTATGAATAATGTCATCTTTAACCAGGTTTTGCCAAATTCGTGTGTATTTAGGGCTAAACAAAAAACCGGACACTGTTCGACATGTGTGCAAATAGACAGTGTTTGTGACCACCCTGAGTCGCCACTAACCAGTAATTAATTGAGAATATATTTTTATTATTTCCCATCAATTGTCTATTGTCAAAATTTAAATTGATTACAGACTATACTAAGTCCGCTGTAGTTTGGTGCGGGTGACAGTTGCTTAATTTTTCGTAGTCTTTTCGTCACCTTTGAAAGTTGCATTTAAAAATTATGACTATGTATTTCAGCTGTACCACATTCGTAATATATTAAATCATTTATAACTGTAGTAACTTAAATTTAACCCAGCCAGAATGTTCTAGTCGACAAATAATATCAAATTGAATGAAAAATTAAGCAACTGTCACCCGTATCATGCTACAGGGCACATAGTTAAATATAATAAATAAATATAATGAATAAAAGGATTTAACAAAAATATTTCACAGAGAATGTAGGCAATATGGCTTGCACTGTCAAAAGCTTATGCAAAGCCAAGCTTCTAACTAAAAAATTCGTAACCTCAGTCAAATTCTGTTTTGAGGGTAAAACCCGAATTCAAGTTATGAATGTTCATCGATGAAGCTCTTCGAGTATCTTCGCGCGCTGGACTCGTCTGGACCAGATTCTACTCTTGAATAATTGACTTTTCAAATATTATGTTAAATACTGTTTACAAATGTCAAAAAGCCTCTTGTGTATTACAAATTATATATAATTATTCATCAGTGTTAGAGTGTGTGAAAAGAAACCCCTAAAGGGATCGCCACAGTGCTATATTGTTATGTTGACAACACTAGAATCGCAAAATATGTTGCTAAGCTCAAAACTCGAAGATGGCTGGACAAATTCGAGTATTTTTATTTATTCCTTGAACTTTGAGGAAGGTTTTAATGAAGAGAATATTGGAAAGAATGCACGGAAAACCCTAGAAAACTAGATTGCTATGCTAGTTCTATGTCTATAGTCTTTCAAATGTTCCATATGTTGGTATGTTGCTACTAAAAAGGTACTTAGCCTAAGTAAAAATTATATTAAACCGAAAATAAGTTGTTAATACGCAGTTCGCATAACCGGCAATACTATCCTTGGACACAACCTGCATCACAGTTTCGGTCCAGGTTTTTTTCGCAACATTATGAAAAAGCCTGGACCGAAACTTCTCCCTAAATATGAAAATAATTTTCAATCGATTATAATTTCCCATCGTTAGGGGCACCTTACCCTATCATAGTATCAGTTACTCATGTAATTGGTGGGGTGTTTTCGTTTAATGAGATTCGTTCCGTAATGGTTAAAATGGCTTTCGAAGGATGCGGTATCCTATTAGGCAAAATATAATTATGCCTGACATTATATTTTCCTTTGAATTAATTTAAAAATACACTACTAGAATACTGTACATACTGAATTAATTGTCACAATTAAGTTAAATTTTAATTATTAATTCTATATATTAATAATGGATGCATAATAGTGTTAGCATAGTCGCTTCAACGTGCGACTCTCATCCCTGAGGTCGTAGGTTCGATCCCCGGCTGTGTACCAATGGACTTTCTGTATATGTCGACGGCTGTGTCAGGCACAGGAGGTTAATCACCTACTTGCACGTGAGATTCATGAAACAGATACGAAAATCTGAGACCCAGACCTAAAAAGATTGTAGTTCCAGTGATTTATTATTATTTTACTTGGTATTTTTAAAAGAAAAAAATTACAAGTATGTTTAGTTACCATTTAAACTTTTGTACTTGGCTAGTCTCAAAATTGTACAATTTGTACTCCCCGTGAATTTACTCTTAAATACAAAACAAAATATTAAATAAATAATAGTTAAAAAAAACTAAAAAAGACGCTTTTAAAGCACATCAAAAAATACTGGTATTATTGTGAAAAAGCGTGGGTTGCTCGATAGACGAAAAATATGGCACAGAGCGCACCACGCTTTTTCACAATAATACCAGTATTTTTTGTTCATTACCATTTTCAGCCTAAATTAGGAACTATTTTTCACTTTTTAGTTTGATGTGCTTTAAAAGCGTGTTTTTTATTTTTTTTTAAACTATTATTTATTTTTTAGTTAAATTTTTTTTTTTTTTTCATTTTTTTTTTCGGATTATTGCTTTGTCATCAATCTTTGACAGGTGCGCAAAGTTTGAATTAAATCAGTCCATTAAAAGTGGGTCAAAATCGAGTCCGAAGGAGTCGGTTACATACATACATACAGGTGAAGCTAATATAAAGCGTGTAAAAATAACAACTAATTATAAATCACACACACATAAAAAAAACATGAAAATCGGTGGCACAAGTTTATATAGATGTGGCAATTTCTCAAGTTTTATTTTAATTTAATGAATTTTCATATAGACTAATATATAGACAATTGAATTGTGTAATTCTATTTGTAGGTGCAATTTTATCGACACTGAACAGCTTGATCATACCTGTCTGCACAATATTGTACCCATTAATTCAAGGGGCAATGGGGTATGGGGTGTAATTGTGCCAAACAATGAGATCATGGCTTTGTAAGGGTGCGATAAGTGTACTTTTGATTAAGCACGCCAGGGATTAAGAGTACTTTATAATGGAGTAATAGTAACGCCCTGTTTTGGCTACTAATATTTTTGGTTACAAATATTTTTGGCTACTAATATTTTTGGCTACTAATATTTTTGGTTACTAATATTTTTGGCTACTAACATTTTTGGCTACTAATATTTTTGGTTACTAATATTTTTGGTTACTAATATTTTTGGCTTGATGTTCAAGTCTTCCTTACACAACGGTTGTTAATGTGTTTAACAATGTCTCATTTAAAAGATACACACAGAGACAGCCACACAACACACAACTCTATATAATTTGTTGATTATTTAGAAACCTAACTTTTGATATTATTTTTTACGATTACATGATATTTATTTCCAACACACAAATATACAGTATTTACTATCTTAACCATCAAAGTAATAATAATAAAAAAATAATAAATAGAAAAAGATGGTCCCTGTCGCAGTGTATCTTTAACGCTGGCAGCATTTCCTCGCTGTATTGCGATACTCATTCGTTAAGCGAGGAAAGCACCAGCTCTGGGGCCACCAGTGCAACCAGGCGCCAACATAAATCCTGTGCACTTGAACCCAAGGCCCAAGAGTCTTTACTCCAAAGAAAACAAAATTTGATACTTAAGTTTATGTTTTAGGATGATTAGGGCCAATTTTGTTTTTATCTACACCCGTAGATAAAAAATGTATTGGTTCTTGAATGAGGGAATCACAGTTCGTGCTGTCTTCTTTTTGAATATACTCTAGAACTATGGCTCCCGTATAAAATTCATAAATTGTTCATGTCATGAGTCAGACCAGTTAAACAGTGTCCAATAATAGGATGAAACCCATTTTATTTAACGGAATACATATCTAAATAAATAAGAATCGCAAAATATGTTGATAAGCGCAAAACTCAAGATGGCTGGACAAATTCTAGAATTTTTTTATATATTTTTTGAACTCTGAGGAAGGTTTTAATGGAGAGAAAAATTAAAAAAAAAGTAGTTTTATTTATTTTATTTTACCTTTAATGCTGCCAGCGTTTAAGGTACACTGCCACAGGGACCAAGTTTTTTCTTTTTAATAATTTTTATTATTATCTACTTACTACTTAAGAAAATTGTAAATACAAATTATACGTAAGTATGTAGCATTATTAAATTATACATAATAAAGTTTTATTTAATACTTAGGATTTTAATCTTAAAAGCGAAAATTTTTATGGAGTAGCATAGCAAAATGTTCCATAATATGTTGGTATGTAGCTACTAAAAAAATAAGGCAAAATGATTATGTAGCTTTGTAGTTTTTCATTAAAACAACGTAATTATAAAGGTAAAAAAAAGGAAATTGACAATATATATTAAATTCACAAACATTAGTATAAAAACACCTTTTTCGAAGTCAGTTAAGCTTACTAGACAGTTATTGGAAGTAGAGTCCCGCCCCGTAACCGGATATCCGTCTAGCGACCGGTAGCCAAGGTTACGGCTTAAAATGGCGGCTTCGCAAATTAAGAATTCAAATCGAAGCCGATATTCCATTACAAACTAACTTTTAGGAAGGTGATACCAATTTAATTAAAACCGTTAAAATAATTTTAAATAATGTTTTACGGATATTTAGTTGGGTATATACTTTTTCAAACTCGTGACTAACCTACAGATAATAAACAATTGTTAAAGCATTTTTATTTAGCTAGGACTCAAACGAAGTGACGGATTTATAAATTTTCAACATATAGTCTGTGAAATTTTTGCTGCTCGTGCCTGTACCTGTCATGGCCTTATTTTTAGAATCCAACAATTTCGTTAAATATAAAATATTTTTTAGGTTTTATGATTAATCACAAAATTATACCCATCCAGTTCCACTTGTAACAGGACTGACATGTATAGGTTGACAGGGGGAAGAGGGTAATACACTTTCTGCAATTTTGCTCTTTATACAAAGTGTGAGCTGATGGCGCAGAGGTCGATTACTGGTTAGGGGGTTGGACAAAATTTGTCTGTAAAACATCAAACAACCGACATGCAGAAATATTTTTGATTTCTATGAGGTGCTGCTCAAACGACTGCTACTACGTAGAATAGACTGATCAATTTAAAAAAAAAACATTTTTAAGTGTCGATCTGATACCAAATCCGCATTGAAAAGCAAAAAAATAGTAGTAAAATTGAAAGTGTATTTTTTATATTTTTTGTAACATTTATGTTTATCATAATAAATTATTGTCATTTATTATAGAATATATAGCTTGAAGCATCAGATATAGCATTATATATAATGTGGCGAATTTAATAAATACATATAAATAACGCAATCCGTTAAATTGAATTAAGTGGATTTTTGTGCAACTTTAGTTACCATTAACGACCATTCTAAATTGTAATTGTGGTATTTAAAAGTGTAATGTTAATAATAAAGTACATAGTAGTAATAAAATTGATTAAAAATTAATAAAAAGAAAATTAAAACAAATTTAAAAAGTTTGTGTGGCAACCTTTAACGCTGGCATCACCGCGGTGTATTGCGATACGTATTTGTTGAGGAAAGCACCATATCCGGAGTCACCAGTAGCTCCAGGCGCCAATTTAAATCTTTAATTAGCGCCTATGCACTTGACGGACGGACCAAGAGTCTCTAGTCCAAAGGGAACAAAATCAAAGTTGGAGGAAAGACTCTTAATATTTGAATCTTGACTCATATAAGAATTTATAACAATTGCTTTTATCTTGTTTTTTAAACTGTGTGAAAAAAAATCAGTGGCGCTACAACCTCTTTAGGTCTTGGCCTCAGATTTCTGAATCTGTTACATGATCATTTTTAAATCTAATAGGCAAGTAAATGACCAGTCATCAGCCTCCAGTGCCTGACACACGCCGTCGACTGTTTGGGTCTAAAACATGTCGGTTTCCTCACGATGTTTTCCTTCACCGTTCGAGTGAATGTTCAATGCGCACATTCCATTGGTGCACAGCCGGGGTACCAACCTACGACCTCAGGTATGAGAGTCGCACGCTGAAGCTACTAGGCCAACACTGCTCAAAATACTTAATGGCTAACCCACTCAGTAATTCGTCTTTATTAGCAGCTGTGTCCCTTCCTGATATAACAAGGATAAATAAACCAAAGCATTCCACGAACGCCAAAACAAACAAAATGAATCAGCCGTTGGAGGAACGAGATGCTCATGAAGTTTCATATAAATCGGAGTAATGTTATGCGTTTAATTGTCATCTTTATGGAACATGAATTTAGTAGGACGTTCGTCGTTGATTTTGATGACGTGTTAAGTATAATAATTTAAAGCTTTTTATGTACAAAAAATAGTTTAAATTTATGTCCGTAGCTTTGCCTGTTTTGATTTCGTCTATTTTGGTAAGACTCTTTGCTTTTTGAACAGAAAAATATCATAGTTCGTAGTTTTGCCTGTTTTGATTTTGTCTATTTTGGTAAGACTCTGCTTTTTGAACAGAAAAATATCATAGTTTCTTCCGTTCGTAGTTTTGCCTGTTTTGATTTTGTCTATTTTGGTAAGACTCTGCTTTTTGAACAGAAAAATATCATAGTTTCTTCCGTTCGTAGTTTTGCCTGTTTTGATTTTGTCTATTTTGGTAAGACTCTGCTTTTTGAACAGAAAAATATCATAGTTTCTTCCGTTCGTAGTTTTGCCTGTTTTGATTTTGTCTATTTTGGTAAGACTCTGCTTTTTGAACAGAAAAATATCATAGTTTCTTCCGTTCGTAGTTTTGCCTGTTTTGATTTTGTCTATTTTGGCAAGACTTTGCTTTTTGCACAGAAAACTACTAAAGATTTTAGGTTCTTCTGTTCGTAGCTGCACCTGTTTGGATTTCGTGTATTATGCGACATATATAGAAATAGATATATATTTAAGTATTCGTCAAATTTATAAAAACTTTATTGATTAATTTACGTTTAACGAGGGCTTTGAATTTATTTAGTGATAATTCTCTAATTTCCAGTTGTAAAAATGAATACAATTTCCATATAAGGAGTGGTTTATCTTCTGGAGCCTGGTTTGTCGTACACTCAAATTAGTTCTATTACGCGTATTATACTGGTGAAAGTCACCATTTGTTTTAAAATCGTTTATATTTTTTTTGTACATACAACAAGGCTTCAAGAATATATTGACCAGATAATGTCATAATATTTAATTCCTTAAACTTATTCCCGACTCCCTAGGAGAAACACAACAAATACCCCGAACAGCCCGCTTTATTACATCAACATAAACAATTAATTAAATTCTTTTACCGTTAGTATCCTACAGTATGCCTGATTACCATAAGCTATAGAACAGTTTCAAAAATATTAGGGATGCGTATGAAAACTTCGATAATGTAATCCAATGTGTGAAAAGAAAACCATTGAAAATCTATTGACAATAGAGTAAAGTGCTAGTTTTATAGAAGAAATTCACACATCTACAAATACGTATTTAATAAAATTAATATCCGTAGTGCAAAGCCGGGCGGTCAAAAATACTTTTAATTCGAATAGACATTTTTCTGTGGATATTTTCATACGATATACATATAACGATTAAATTTTATGAAACCGTTGCAAGTGGCTTATCGTTTTATAAACATAGGCGAAAGCTTGTTTTGCCCATGAAGCATTCCTGGTTTTCTCAGCGTGAGAGATTTCATAACCAATACTAAGAATGGAACACCCAGAACACACAAGCGCAACTTTGTAAAGTAAAAATATATTCACATATGTGATCGCAATTTAAAAGCTGTAGTACAAGATAAATCTTTAAAAAATCATTGTTAAGGGGCCGTTCATGTATTACGTAAGCACTCTAGGGGGGCCTTCGATTTTCTTATATTTTGGTGATTACGTCAACAGTAATTATTTACTTTTTTTGGGGGGGATGTAAAAACTGTTTAACCGGCATCGTAATTATGCTATGTATTATAAATTTACAACTATAAAACATA